GTCATAGATCAATTAATCACACATGCGGCTTTATTTCTGGGTTTTCGTTTGTTCTTTTTTTTTTTTTTTAAGATTTATTTATTTATGCATACAGAGCTGAGATACAGGCCAGAGACAGAGTGGGGGGCAGAACAGGTGGACTGACAAAATACACTGCCGAGGGGAGCAGCGGGGCAGGCCAGGAGATGTCTCCTGTGCCATGTGGATCACTCCCGGGGTGGGGATTGAACTCATGCTGAAGTGGCTTTAGCTTCTCAGTGCTGTGCTTTAACCTGCTACGCCACCAGGGAGGGCCTATTTCTGGGTTTTCAGTGTGGGAATACAACTCACTTAGGTATATTGATTTTGTAACCTGCCACTTTACTATACTGATTTATTGTTTCTAATTGGATTTTTATAATGGAGTCTTTTGGTGTTTTCTACCTCTATTATCATATTTTCTCTAAATAGTAGTAGTTTTTCTTCTTCTTTACATTTTGGGTTCCTTTTATATCTTTCTCTTGCCTGATTGGTCTAACTAGAAATGCCACCAATATGTTGTCCAGTAGCAATGAAAGTGGATATACTTGCTTTGCGTTTTTTTTTTTTTCCCTTTGTTGTATACTTGATCTTAGAGGTAAAGCTTTGAGTTTCTGCTCACTTAATATAATGGAGTTTGTCACTATATGGCATTATTATATTTGAACATGTTCCTTCTTCCCCCATTTTTTTTGAGTTTTTACCTTAGATGAATGTTGAATTTTGTGAAATACCTTCTCTGTATCAAGTGATAAGGGATATTGGTCTGAAGCTTTCTATTTTATGATGACCTTGTCCGTTTTTAGCATCAGATAAGGATGTTGTCTTTATAAAATGTGTTTGTAAAGCATTCCTCAATTTTTTGTAAAAATTTGAGAAGGATAAATATTAGTTTGCCTGTGAAGATTGGTAGAACTCACTAAAAATCTATCTGATCCTGGGCTTTTGTTCTTTGGGAGTCTTTTGATAGCTTTTTGAGTTTTCTTGCTTGTAAATTGTTTTTGTTTTTGTTATTTTAAAGCAACTTCATGTAAATAAATTGTGCATAGTTAAAGTGCACAATTCTATGAGTTTTGACATATGTGTACATCCATGAAACTATCATAATCAAGATAGTAAACATTTTCAGCACCCCAAAGTTGCCTTTTTTGTAACCCTTCCTTTTCCCTTTCCTTTGACTTCTTTTCCTAGCTAGCCCCTTGGTCTGCTTCCTGTCACTATGACTTCCTGTTACTGTCTGCAGTTTTTTAAGAATTTTATATGAGTAGAAGCATACAGTATTTACTCTCTTTGACTGACTTCTTCACTCAGCATAATTTTTTTGAGATTCACCCAGGTTGTTGTATCAACAACGCTTTCCTTTTAATTGAGTAGTATTTCATTGTGATTTATTTGTTAACCTGTTGAAGAATATTTGACTTGCTTCCATGTGTTGACTCTTAAAAACAAAGCAGCCATGAACATTATTTGTGTACAAGTCTTTGTATGAACACATACTTTCATTTCTGTTGGGTAAATATCTACAAATGGAATGGCTGAGTCATGTAGTAGGTGCACATTTAATTAAAAAAAAAACACACACCAAACTCTTTGTCTAAGAATTTGCACCATTTGACATTCTCACAAGCAGTGTGTGGGAGTTTTGCCTTGACAACACGTGGTACTGTCAGCCTTTTTAATTGCAGGCTTGATAATAAATGTGTAGTAGTATCTGATTACCATTTTAATTTGCATTTCCCAAATGATGAATGGTAATGACCATCCTTTCATGTATTTACTTGCTATCTGTATATCTTTTATGATGAAGAGCCTGTTTAAATCTTTTGCCTATTAAAAATAATTTTAAACTTTGAATATTGAAAGTTCTTTAGGACTGCATAGCAGTCCTTTATCATATATGTGATTAGTGAATATTTTTCCCAGTCTGCTGGCTTTTCTTTCTCTTAAAAGTTTCTTTTGGCCCTCCCTGGTGGTGCAGCAGGTTAAAGCACAGCACTGAGAAGCTAAAGCCACTTACGCATGAGTTTGATTCCCGCCTGCCCCGGAGGTGACCACATGGCGTGGCAGAACTCTCCTGACCCGCCCGCTGCTCCCCTCAGCAGTGTATTTCGTTGATCTGCCTGTTCTGCTTCCCATTCTGTCTCTGGTAAAGCCACTCACCACCCCTGAGCCTCTGGCCTGTACCCCAGTTCTGTATGTACAAATAAATAAATCTTTTAAAAAAAAAAGTTTCCTTTGAGGAGCAGAATTTTTTTTTAAGACTTTTTATTTATGCATACGGAATTGGGCTATAGGCCAGAGCTGCAGGAGTGGTGAAAGGATTCACCATAGTCAGAGTGAGGAGTAGAACAAGCAGCTGGATGAAGTACACTGCTGAGGGGAACAGCAGGTGAGATAGGAGAGGTCTGCCATACCTTGTGATTGAACTTGCACTGATGTGGCTGTGGCTAGCTTGTAGTGCTGCTCTGTAACCCACTGTGCCATCAGAGAGGGCCGATCCTCTGTATTTCTGACATGACTGTTGTTTTCTCTCTTTCATTTCTGATTCTATTTTCTAGAGTCTCTCCTTCCTTGTGAATCTAGCTAGATAGAGGTTTGTCTGTTTTGTTTATCTTTTCCCCAAAGAACTAGCTTTGATTTTATTGATACTCTTGAACTGTCTTTTAATTTCTATTTTATTTATGCTCTAATTTTTATTATTTCCTTCTTTCTACGTGTTTCAATTGTTTTTGTTCTTTTCTAATTTCTAAAGATGTAAGCTTAGATTATTTAAACTCTTTCTTCTTTCTTGATATGGACTGTATTACTACAAACTTCTTTCTTAGTGCTTTTGTTGTGTGCTTTAGGTTCTAGTAGTTTGTGTCTTCATTTTCATTTTTCTCCTGCAGGTGTTTTTAAATATCTTCTTTGACCCTTTTGAATCCAGTTTCTTCTCTAGAATTCAGTAACCATTCGATTGTTGAGGGTCCACATATTAAAGGTTTTTCTTTTTGTACTTGATTTCTAATTTGATGCCATTGTGATCATAGAAGATATTTGATATGATTTCAGTTTTAAACTTATTGACATCTATGTGACCTAATATGTGATCTATCCTGAAGAGTGTTCCATGTATGCACACATATTTTTGTGTGAAAAATATGTGCTCAGCATTTTGGGGCAATGTGGTTCCCTGTAAATGTCTGTGAAGTTTGTGTGATCTAATTCCTCACATAAGGTTATTGTTTATTTGATTTTCTGTCTAGTTGATCTGGTAATTGACTTGAATAGGTGTTGAAGTCCCCCACAGCTATTGTATTATTACCTATGTCTGTTACCACATTTGATATTAGGTATATATACATATTGATGCTCTTTAATTAGGTACATACATAAGGATGATGTTTTCTTATGTATTGTTTCCTTAATCATCTGATGACCATCCTTGTCTCTTGTTAGCTTTTTTAATTGGAAAGCTATTTTCTGATACAAGTTTGGTTGTCCCTGCATTTTTTTGTGTGTGTTCTCATTTGCTTGTTTTGCAACCCTACTTGGAGCTTGTGATTATCTTTGGACTCAAATGGGTCTCCTGGTGACAGGAGAAAGTTGGGTTTTATTTTCTGATCCAACTAGCTGTTCAATTCCTTTTAATTAGTAAGTTCAGTTTGTTTACATTTAGGGTGGCTATTTACGTATGAAGATCTGCTCTACCATTTTGTCTTTAGTTTTCGGGTTCTATTTCCATGGGGTTGTGTTTTTTTTTTTTGCAGATTTTCCAGTTTTACCTTCTCAGAGAAGCTGAAATTTCTGGTTGGGTTGCTTCTCTTTCAAAAATTTGAGACATGCACTGAGTTTTCAAAACTCACCCAGAAACCTAGTCCTTTCTATCCATATTTAGTAGAATGACTTTTAAAAGTATGCACACCTTAAAGTATAAATATTAAATTCTAATATAGGGATTTTTTAAAATAGGGATTTTTTTAAGAACCTAATGTTTTATGACTAGATTTACTTCATTTTAATAGTGAATATGTTATTTTAGTCTCTTAAACTTCTATAAATTCATTTCTTTAAATATAAATAGCCTATAACCCTAACTTTGAAAATAGAATGTAACCTGACAAAAATTTCTAGAAGAAAATATTTTATATGTAAACTTTATTAGTAAGAGAAAATGTACTTCATGAAGACTTGTTGACTGTGTTAGTACTTCAAAGTAGAAAAGATGTGCTATATTTCTTAACAAGAGTCTTTTACAATTCCAGATTACTGATGATCATAGTTATCAGTGTTCCTTGTTCCTTTTTATTGTAAATCATATTGTTCTCTTTGTAAAAAAAAAAAAAAGTATATGCAAGAATTACATCAGTATCTTCAACTAGAATTTAAATAATTTATATTAAATGCAATAATTTGAAGAAAAACTATTATATTCCTAATTTTGAATTTTATGCATATCCTGAGGAGTTGCCTTTTATATCAAGATACCAGATAGAGTTTTATCTTTGGTTATATGAAAAGAAATTATACTATTTCTTGCTTTTTTTCTTACTATTAGTAAATCATGAAATTTAATGAAAAGCAAATGTTGTTGCTCACAAAATCATTTGATACCCTGCCATATAAAACTAAACCTGATAGTTAGAACCTAAAATATTTGAAAAATCTGTTGTATTTATCCCCAAAGATAACTAATCTAATAAAATATTTTGGATTATGTTTTAAAATAAGCATTTACCTTTGTACCAATTCATATAGGTTTGTGTATAAACTTTGTGGATTAATTCATTATTTGCCTTAAAATCTAATGATAATTTTTCTCTGTATAGGTTTCTGGACTGACAAAGAGGAGCTAAAGAAACTGAGGCAAAGTGAAACAGTTTTCAAGCCACAGAAGAAATGGCAAGAATATGAAATTAGTATGGAAAACTGGGTCAAAGCTGTGAAACGTTCTATGAATTGGTATAACAAGACATAGCACTAAAGAATCACTGAAACCATATATATATATGGCTGATCCATATATATATATGGCTGATAGGACATGAAGATGAGACAAAGCTCAGGGATCTCAAGTCAATTTAACACTGACTGAAGGAAGAATTTAAAAGAACTTTGTAGCTTGAAGAATCATAATGCTCTTTTGAAAGAGAAAAAAAAAACTTCTTTTAAATCCAAATCTTGGGAAGATTATAAGGCAGCAATACCTCAGAACTTTACTTCTTCTGTTTTATAGAATATTCAAAAGAACACTAGCCACCTACAAACATATTTTGGCGATTAATGGGTCTTCTTCCTTTTTATATTGTGTCAGTGGTATATATAAACATAATTATTTGCTGAGTTAGTAGTTCTAAATCAAGTACCATTCATGTTTTACTCCAAAATTATGTGAAAAGTATTCTTTTAATTAATTTTTTTATAATTAAGAGGGATATTTAAGTACATAGAGCTAAAAAGAAAGAATAACAGGAAATGTAGGATTTTAAAACATTAACATTTTATATTTAAAACCATAAAGGTGTACTGTCTAAATACAAGGTTCTTGTCCCTCACAGATATTATTCATTTCCAAATCTTTCCTTTTGGGCGTTTAAAGACACTGCCTTAATTTTACCCGATTTTGCCAAAATGTGAGCACCCTTCACATGGTGAAAAACATTGGAATAATAATTAATGACGCCAAAAAGGTTAATGATTCATAGGAAACAAGAAAACACTATGTTTTTTGTCTTAAAGCATAATGTCTCACTATCTTACAAAATACAGGTAGTAAATATAAGTCTTGCCTGCCTTCTCTCTTCTATTGTTTATCTTTTAATTTTTGAGAAGTTTACATAAATATCTTTTACTAAGTGCCTAATTGACAAAGTTTACTATGAAGGGAGTGTTCCATCTCACTGGCAATTTAAGAATTGCCTTCTTTGAGTTACTTTTCTTGTCCAGGTAGTTTTTTCATGTTTATTCAGTCTATTTATCTCTCTGAGATATATGCAGTGATTATCTCTTGAAGAGAGTTTATTTGTGCTAATGATTACCTTTAAGATACTAAACCAGAGACCCACAAAGAGGCCCAGAATCAATTCCATATTCTCAAACTTTCTTGATAGAAACATGGTGAGCAGCTTCTGGCTAGCTGTAAAATTGTCTAATGGTAGTTGACTCCCTTCCAACCTGTTCTATCATTTGCCCTTTCCTACATTGGACAAGGTTGCTTTTGGATATGTGACAATAATGAATTTATTTCCCTTTTGGCCAGCCTTTATCACTTAAAAGTCCTGTTTGGAGCTAGCCTTTAAATAATAACATAAGAAACATAAGAAGTGACAATTACAGGGAATTGTTCTCTGATATGTGCATTTTAGAGACAGGTATGATAGAACTAGGGTCAAATGGCATTGCTCCAAATTCCAATGTTATGAATGTTGTCTTCTTAAATTATTAAGTTTATTTGATGGAAACATAATGGGAAATAGTATCATTAACTCCATTAAATTAAGTTTGAAAATGTTTTTTTGTTAAGTAGAGGTGTCCTGCCAGATTTCATTATGTAGATAATTTCTTGTTTTTTAACATACTGTTTACAAAGCTTGAGAACAGGAATGACAGAGACAAGAAATTGCAAAAATCAGATACTCCTGAGATTCTTTTACTCTATTTCCACTGTCTTTTTCCCTTAACTATATTAGGTTTACCAAAATTTAATTACTCTATATTATATAGATGTAAGGATTCCAATGTAAAGGCCATATCTTTACAAGAAACTGCCAAACTTTTTCCATTTCTACCATTTTATGTTTTTGACAGCAATATCTGAATAATATAGTTTCTCCACATCCTCACCAGCATTTAGCATCATTACAGTTTTTTAAGTTTAGATAATAGTGTGGGGTTTCTCATGGTTTAATTGCATTTCCTAATTAACAATGATATTAAATGTCTTTTGATGTGCTTTTTTGCCCTTTTGATGTCCTTTTACCCTTTTCATGAAATGTCTGTTGAAATAACTGGGTTATTTGCTAAATGAGCTATATCTTTAAATAAATATCTTTTTAAAAAGCTAAAAAGTAATCAGCCCAATGACTTACTAAAATCATTCCTAATTTCTAGGAAAAATGTATATCAAATTTGAACATGATTTTATAATGCCCTGAGCAAAAGAATTCTCATATTTCTTCTGTCCTCACAATATGGTACTAATACTGTATAGTAGCAATTAGCTTTCAAAGATACCTTTACTTAAAATGTTAAGTAGAACATGAAAAAAACACATAGCTTTCATAATGTTTTTAATCTTTTTGTTTAAAATACCTTGGTTTTTAAAAATATTTCAGAATGTTTTTGTGAAAATTCAAAATATCCCTATTTTGTAACACAGTAAATATAAATTCTAATTCATATGCATCAATAAATTCATAATCTTATTTTTGATTTTTTATAGACTTAATAGATTCATTAAATAGTCATTGAAAACTTTATTAATCATTGTTAAAGATTATAGATAAAATCTAGGATGTATAGCAATACAAATATTTTTTATGCACATGTAACTTTTTCCCTTTTTTTTTGTCTTTAATTTTTGGACTTGTTTTTAAACTGTACCTAGAAATTCTTACTTAGCATTATTTTCTGGTTTGGTTTCTGCACATTAAGAAGGCAACAGAGGGCCCTCCCTGGTGGTGCAGCAGTTTAAAGCACAGCACTAAGATGCTAAAGCCACTTTTGCATGAGTTCGATTCCCGCCTGCCCCGGAGGTGACCACATGGCGTGGCAGACCTCTCCTGACCCGCCCGCTGCTCCCCTCAGCAGTGTACTTCGTCGATCTGCCTGTTCTGCTCCCCACTCTGTCTCTGGTGAAGACTCTCGTCGCCCCTGAGCCTCTGCCTGTACCCTAGTTCTGTATACACAAATAAATATTAAAAAAAAAAGAAAGCAACAGAAAAACCAGTATATATTAACTACAGTTTTGAAAATGAAGAGGGCTGTTAATTCTTTGTGGTGGTAAGAGATAAAAACTGTGAAAATATACTGTATTTTTAAAATTTTAGTAAGATTTTAAGTAACTGAAGGAAAGATAATTTTAAAATACTAATATAATGAAGTTAGCCTAGTAGTTATTAAAAATCCCCCATATTATCATCTGAAACTATAGTGGGAAACTACAATGAAATAGTGAATGACTGATCTTTACATACTATGTTTTTTTTTTTTAAAGATTTATTTATTTGTGCATACAGAACTGGGGTACAGGCCAGAAGCTCATGGGTGGCGAGAGGCTTCACCAGAGACAGAGTGAGGAGCAGAACAGGCAGATCGACGAAGTACACTGCTGAGGGGAGCAGCGGGTGGGTCAGGAGAGGTCTGCAACGCCATGTGGTCACCTCTGGGGCAAGCGGGAATCGAACTCATGCAAAGAGGCTTTAGCTTCTTTGTGCTGTGCTTTAACCCGCTGCGCCACCAGGGAGGGCCATATATACTATGTTTTAAAACCTTTTTTTTTTTTTAGTGTTTATCTGTTCTTGTGTTGGATTTGCACATGTATTTTGTGACATCCTTTGGGTAGAGGATTTAATCACTCTGATTCTTCAGTGGAGCCTATTACTATCTATGGAACATGTGTTAATTCTGTAGTAGGATATTGGGTGCGTGATGAACATTCAGTTATTAGAAGCAAGCAAAGGGTTTCACTTTGATTTCATTTTAGTTCAAAGTAATATTAGTTTAATGAATTGGATAAATCATGGAAGCATTATGGAGATACGTGGAGCTGACTTTTCTAAATTTTATCTGACCATAACAGTATTTTTTCCTTTTCTGCATTTTTTTCTCTTTTCACTAATTTTTTATTACATTGTTGTAGTCTCCATAGTTAGTCTACAACCATATCACCAATGAACCATCACCGTATTCTCCTGTGTTCATCCCTCCTCTATTTTGACCACTGTCCCCTTCTGCCCTCCCTTGCTGTGTACCCCAGATCGATGGTCAGCTTGCTAGTTTTGACTTGCTTTGACCTTTTGTTTGTTTTTCCTTCTGACTAATTTCAGCTGTCAAATCTCCTCCAGCTCCATCCATGTTGCAGCAAGTGTCATGAGCTTGTCTTTTTTGATTATTGAATAATACTCCACATGTAAATATACCACATTTTTGGATCAGTCATCTATTTGGGGGCATTTGGGTTGTTTCCATATATGACTATTGTGAACAGTGCTGCAATAAATATAGTGCAGGTTTCTTTCAAATTAGTGTTTTTGTGTCCTTTGGGTAGATTCCCAGGCATAGAATTGCCAGATGACATGGTAGATCCATTTTTAGTGTTCTGAGGAACCTCCACACAGCTTTCCTTAGTATCTGGACCAGTTTACAGTCTGACCAGCAATTTTAAAAGTTTTCTTTATCTCCACATCCTCTCCAGCATTTGTTGTTTTCAGGGTTTTTTTTTTTAAATAGTTTATTTTTACATCATTTTGTGCCTTTTTCCATCTCAGTTGTAATCCCCATGGGCTTCCCATCACCAAATCACCCATGTGTAATCATCATAGTGTTTCCGCTTTTTTTTTTAAGGTGGGCCATTCTCACTGGAATTATAACATATTTTTAAAGAATCTTATGTAAAAAAAAAAAAACAAACCTAGGAATAAATACATTGGGATGATTGTTGTTTGGAGGGGATTCCCATTAGCTGTTAGAAGGTACATATTGAAAGGCAAATGCACTCGATTTGCTAAGTGCCCCTTCACCTTCCCCCTGGGATACTTTCGTATCCCAGGGAATTTTTATGTCCCCTGATCCAGCCAGTGAGGGCCCTTCTCCTGTCACTCCCAGAAAGCTTTGTCTATCAGCATTCCAGCTTCATCACCAAACACTCAAGAACTGAGCAGTTTGAAATTTTAGTCTACTTGGAAACTAACAAATTAGTCTCCTACATTTTCCTAGAAAATGGTAGAAGATATGAGACTCTTGGGTCAGAGATTAAAA